TCCTGGAGGGTGCTTGACCATTTTAACACAACGTGGTGCGATCATCCCCCTTGCGCGGAGCGAGTGTTCTCGACCCCGCACAACATGATCTACTCGACCACCATTATGGTTACCGCCAAAAAAANTGAATTGGCTTGTTTTACAACGTCTTTGCCAAGCGACGAAAACCCAATCCCGATGGCAAACACCGGGGGGGGCGGCTTGTTTTACAACGTCGTTGCCAAGCGACGAAAACCCAACCCCGATGTCAAACACCGGGGGGGTGGCACCGGGGTGCGATAAAAAGCCTAGAAGGGAAGGAGTTCAAACACAATCCCCGGTGCTAGCACACACAACTACGGTATTTGGTGGAATCCCTATGTCGGGCTGTCGACCACCGTTGTTCACAGGGAATCCCTGATAGTATGCATGCAGGCGCAGCTTCTGGGTTGATGCTGCATACCCCGCGACAGCGACGTAGGTAGCTCCACACTCATATCAAGTTTCACGAGCTCCCCTTGCTATGTACACCCGATCGTACTCCCTCGTTCTGTCGATCGATCTCGTTGCCCCCGTTCACCTCCCCCCCCCCCCCCCCCCCCCCCCCCCCCCCNCCCCCCCCCCCCCCCCCCCCCCTCTCTCTCTCAATGGCCCTTTCTCAATCGCCCTCTCCGCGTCTGTTGTTTCTACGTCTTGGGTGTGCAACAGGGAGCTGGGCAATGCCCGTGATCATGTGCCTGCTGGGCATCTTGACGGTCAAGGTCTTCTTCTTATCGCGGTGAGGGGATTGGCCTGCGCCACGCAAGCTTTCTTTGTCAAAACCACCGATGAAGAGCGCGTTTCGGCGCACAAGAAAGAAAAGCGTGGCCGCACGGACTGTAGGATTGAGATGGTCATTCGTATTGGCCACTCCCTTTGACAAGCCTAGTTGGTGCTTTTTCCTTTTTCTCACCAGTTTGATTTGCTGTCGCTGAATGCTGCAGTCTTGCGAACACCTCACTCCCACCAATCCATACCGGGTTCTTTCCACACATTCACCCCGACCCGCCCTTGCCATCGACATGTCGGCAGTGGCTACAAATGACAAGGAAAAGATCACGAGATATTGTGGAGGCGACGAAAGATAGAGACACTTCGTACGTTGTTGTCAATCAGCAGTAAGACCGGTGCTCCACCATCGATATCGACAAACGGCGAAAAGACTCAAAAAGGAAAGCTTCAACGAGCGAACCCGCTCTCCCATTTATGTCGCCAGCTTTTCGGCGCAACGGTGCACCTTCCTCCTGCTTTCGGGTTGAATCTTTTGTCCCGTCCTACAATCTACGACCCTAGCAGGTGACGATAGTATGTGTTCCTGCCGTTTTCTTCGCCCACCCCCGTAGCACCCCAACCTTACGTGCCGTTTCGGCCTTGCGTTAACGTTCGTGGGCGGGTTGCTTTCTGCGCCAACACAGGTCCGATGAGTACGTTTCTTCGAGCAGGGTGCAGGAGATGGTGAGAGAATGTATGCTGTTTTTTTGTTTCATTTTGATTCCGACTTCGCTTTTTCGCCACAGGGCACACACACCCGTCGTACGTGGTGCGTGTTGCCGGCTGAAAAAGAACATGAGTACTCAATCAGCGTGCGCGCGAGGTCTCGAGTATCACGGGCAGCCTGTAGTTCTGGGTGTTCTGTGCCCGTTTCGCTATCGCGTCGCGACGCTCGTCAAGATAAAGCCAACACGCGTTCGTCTGGTGAGTGCGTTGGGAAAGAGTGGTGGTGGTGCGGGTGGTCGGTGGCTTGCTTGCACACCGTACCAGCTTCCATCTCGATGCCTACAAGAGGGGTTGCATGTAAAAGGAGTCTTTCTGGCGGCGTGCTTCCTCTCGAGCCGAAAAACACCCCACGCCGCCCCAACCTTGAATGTGTCGGGCTTTTCCCCTGTTGATAAGTACAACACGTCAATGAAGTGCACGCTCGATCGCACCCTTACTGATAAACACACCACAGGTTGAGGTGGAGGTGCAGCGTCGAGTACAGCAGCAGGTGTCGCTGCTGAATTCGGAACCCCACACGCTGCCTTCGGAAGGAGGGAAAGGGCCAGCCGTGGCCAACGATTTCCCGCCTACGGCCGACCTTTCCGAGAAGGACCGCATGCGGTAAGCGTAGCCGTATACTTGGCGAGGTGGAGTGTGAAGTACGAGACGCCACAGTGGCCTATTTGTCTGTGGAGGGTGCCAGTGGAGAACGGGTTTCTGTCTGTTGATATGAAGCTGTGGGTGCTGCGATGCTGGTAACAAAGGAGACAGCGGTCGTTAAGGCCATCCTTCGCGGTCAACCAGGGTCCCCTTTCTCTCTTTGTTACACTCCTCTCTGAGGCTGAAAAATAATTTTCTCCAATATTGTTTTGTCTCACACCTCTTGGTGGTATTTTCCTCGTCCTTGTGTTGGTTTGTCTTAAGTCTATTCGGTATTCTTACCACTCTTTTGTTTTTTTCGCGTCTGGGAACCGCCAGCGTGCTAGTCACCGGCGGGGCAGGCTTTGTGGGTTCTCACCTGGTGGACGCTCTGATGAAGATGGGGCACGATGTCATCGTGCTAGACAATTTCTTCACGGGAAGGTGTGTCAAACGTGTGCGTGTGTGTGACGGCCGGTGAGGGGAGAGAAGAGTCGAGACGGAGAGAGAGAGGGAGAAGACGGGGAATAGACAAAAGCAAGAGAGTGGGGGAGAGAGAGAGAGAGAGAGAGAAAGAGAGAGAGAGAGAGAAAGATGGATAGCGAGAGAATTCATGAACAGAAGTCGCTGCGGTGCACTGTCACGAAGGCGACAAACGATTAATCCTCGACATGTACGACCAACCGTGATTCTGATTACCCCGCCTCAGGCAGAAGAATGTGCAGCACTGGATAGGACACCCAAGCTTTCATCTCATAACGCACGACGTCGTGGAGCCAATCAAAGTGAGATAGACGGATGAGCCCTTACTGTAGACAAGACCCTAGTTGTCTGCGGCCTGGTTCTGTTTGTTTCTTTCGGTCGATTTGCCCGACGACTAGACTCGGGTGTTGCCGGTTTGATTTATTGGCACATGGAGCTAGCAGTGGAGACCAGCCCTTTCTGCATGGACACGAAATAGAGCCAGCCCCCAACAACGCCGATATGCTCTGTGTGGTGGGTACTTCTGTTGGCGTTCGCTCCAGCGGGTGGCGCTTACAATGCTCCACACGCACCACAAGCCAGCCTAAGAACAGGACGAGTGTCAAAAGGGAGTTGGGTGTTAGGCCTTGTTGCTGGTAGTCTTTAGACACCGCAGTACGTCCTTGCTTACCATGCTGCATATACTGGATCACTGCGCGGCAATCTTGGTTTCCCTGAACCATCTTCGCGACACAGCTTCCATAGGCTGAGTGGGCCTTGTCGTTACCCCTGGTTTCCGAGGTTTCTGCCGTGGCATGCGCAAGCCACCCGACGTGGATGAATTCCGTCGTGTCTTGTCCTCCTGCTTGGGCTGGCTGCCTGGTGTGCTCCACGTTATATTGCTCGCAGGATTATATTCAGAAATGTGCCGGTGTGTGTGTGTGACCTTCTGCACCTAACGCGGTGACTTGCGTCTATCTCGTGGTTGTGCCTGTTGTGGTTGCTGTCGAGCTAGATGTGATCTTGTGCCTGCGCGGCTTGGCCCAACACCATCTGTAGCTGGCCAGCCTGTAGACGTGCCTCCATTTTTGCTCTTTTCGTGCGTGTTCGCGGCGTGGAAGAGGTCCCAATCCACCTTGACCTCCTTGACTGATCGCGCGTGCCCCGGCTGTCTGCAACCCTAGTAGTTGCTGTTTTGTTGCTGTCCTGCATTGTAGCAGGTCGGCAACGATTGCGGCTGAGACGGCTCCATTGCAGATTTGTCACCCAATGGCTCTCAGTGTAGCTAAGCATGCCGTGCGTTGGTCCTGTTTCCCTCACGCGCCCCTTCACCGTTTGTTGCGAAATGCCGATACTTCTGTTGAAAATGCGAAGCTCGAGGTAGACCAGATATATCACCTGGCTTGCCCAGCATCACCACCTCACTACCAGTACAACCCCATCAAGACTATCAAAACCAGCACCCAAGGCACGCTTAATATGCTCGGGCTTGCCAAGCGGACAGGCGCGAGGATGCTTCTCACCAGCACCTCAGAGGTACGGTGCACGGTACGATACACGGTATATATAGAATTCAGTGTTTTTCTCCAGCGGCACGATGGGTGTATCCAAACGCATTGTTCTGTGTCCAGACTTTCGGTGCACATCTTGCCGCCCGGTCAGAGGTTAGAACACCCGTAGTGCATATGGTCTCGTCAGTTGCTGCACTTGGGTTGGGGGTTACTGAATTGATAGAAGCGGCTCTTTGTAGAGGTAGCGGGTTTCTCGGGTGCCAACGCGGGGTTGATGTGCCCTAGGCGCGTGAGAGGCGACTGCGGCAATGAGGGCGGTTGTTTCGAGGGCATGACTGGGTGTGGCTCTGAGATGTCTCCCTCCCCCCCGAGAGGTGTATCACCGCCCTTCGCGATACATGACAACACTGAGTGCGATGTACAGCAACATAGAGTCTCACCACCTTGCAACACATACACCCGCGTCTCCACGTGCCAGTTTCCTATAATGCACATTCTCCCCCACACGGCCGTATGAAGGTCTACGGAGATCCGGAGGAGCACCCACAGCGCGAGACGTACTGGGGCAACGTCAACCCCATCGGGCCGCGTGCCTGTTACGACGAGGGAAAGCGAGTGGCGGAGACCATGATGTACGCCTACGAGAACCAGGTGCGTGTGGCGTCGTGGTGATGCAGGCACCGAAGATTGCACTGAGGGCGAAAAAGTTGGTGTTAGGTCACAACACCGCTCGACCGATAGATCAATCAAATTACGGGATGGCATGGCAGGTTGAGGGGTGTGTTGGCGGATCAGGTTTATTCGACGGTCGGCAACGTGACTACTACTTGCGCGCCACGCGGAGCAGGTAGCCATTCTCACAGGGCGGAAAATTCCCGTAATAGCACCACACGACGTGATTTTTGCCCCCCCCCCCGCCCGCCCCCCCCGGTGTTTGCCATCGGGGTTGGGCTTTCGTCGCTTGGCAACGACGTTGTAAAACAAGCCGCCCCCCCCGGGACGGAGCGCGCCGGGTTCTCACCGGACCAGGCTCTCACATCACCAAGCGCGAAGCGCCGTGAGATATTCGCAGTCGCATGAAGGGTGCGCTGCATCCGGCCACGGGTATTCGGCATCTTGTGCTTACTTCTATGCGTACGAATGACAGCTGTTTATGGCTTATTTTATTTCCTGGTTTCACTCCAGAGAAAGTTGTAAGCACTGTGCAACTGCCTCGAGGATACTTGACCAATTGAACACAATGTGGTGCGATTATCCCTCTTGCGCAGAGTGAGGGTTCTCGACCCCGCACAACATAATCTGCTCGACCACCGTTCAAAGTCTCTGCAAAAAGGAAAAAGGCAAAAATAAAATACGGAAACCTGGTTGCTTAGCTCACGGTGATCGACATGTTTTACAACATCGCTGCCAAGCGACGAAAACCCCACCCCAATGGCAAACATCGTTGGGGGCGGCTTGTTTTACAACGTCGGTGCCAAGCGACGAAAACCCAAACCCCGATGGCAAACACCGTGGGGATGGGCACAATTNAGTGATTACAACTGTCTCTGGGAGTGATAGCACCAGAACTTAAATTAATTCATACGCAGCTGTCATCCGTACGCAAGGAAGTAAGCACAAGATGCCGAACACCCTTAGCAGGATGCAGCGCACCCTTCATGCGACTCGCCGAATATCTCACGGCGCTTAGCGCGTGGTGATGTGAGAGCCTGGTCCGGTGAGAACCCGGCGTGCTCCGTCCCGGCTTTGTAGGGATGCGAGGTCAATGGTCTAACGACTACGGCATGCACGACTATGAGTACCCCCCCCTCCCCTCAAGTGCACCCTCGATGCGACTAGCCGAATAGGCTCGCGTTTGGTGATGTGAGAGCCTGGTCCGGTGAGCACCAGGCGTGCTCCGTCCCGGCTTTGTAGGGATGCGAAGGTCAATGGTCTAACGAGTACGGCATGCACGGCTATGAGTACACCCCCCCCCTGTACGTTAGTTCGATAAGTTGACTCCCGAATCCAGACAAGACAAAGGTGGACGGCACGGGTGACGTTCCTGTTTGATTGTTGTCATCGCATCTTGTTCGTCTGCCGGTGTTGACGGGGGGTGTTGTGCTTGTGTCCTTTGTTGTGTGTGTGTCATGTCATCGTGTTGTCTATTGAAGGGAGAAATGGAGGTGCGGGTCGCTCGCATCTTCAACACCTTCGGCCCGCGAATGCACCCGAACGACGGGCGCGTGGTGAGCAACTTCATCATCCAGGCAATTCAGGGGAAGGACATCACCATTTACGGTAAGGCAAAACAGAAGGGCAGAGAGAGAGCGGAGAGACAAGCAAAGCGAGTCGGTAATGCGTGCAGAGGGGGGTAGAGGCGACCTTGTGTAGGGAAAAACAGAATTGGATGAGTTTGGATACTAGGAGAGATGCTCTTCAGTGAAGAAGGGGGGTGGGAGAGCTCTCCCGGTTGTGCCTTTAGACTACAAAACGATGAATCCCAGTTTGTCCCGGTTGGGGCACCGCCGTTCCATGAGTATCTATAGGTATATCATGCTTTTTGTGCTCCGCGATGTAACAAAGTTGACTCAGAAAGTAAGGGAAATACATCCCCGGGGGGAACTCGTGGGGAAACTGGTACCCCGGGGGGAAATTGAAATACCCGAGGGGCTCTGTTTTTTTTGGTCGAAAACGATCTACCGCGGGGCTAAATCAACGAAACCATGCTTCCAGGCGAAAAGGTAATGCGGGGGGGGATCTGTGCTAGGGGGGGAAACTCCGTAGTTTACGGTATCTTAGTCGTGAAGCAGCTGAAACACATGGCCGCATTCCCCCCGATCATGCGCTATGGTCTACCGAAGACCTCCCCCCCCCCCCCCCCCCCCCCCCCCCCCCCCCCCCCCCCCNGCATTCCCCCCGATCATGCGCTATGGTCTACCGAAGACCTCCCCCCCCCCCCCCTTCGCCCCCGCGACATGGTCTAACCGCTAGGGCATGCAAACCATAAGGAGTACTTACCCCCTCCAGCCACGCCCATGCCCACGCCCCTTTTCCTCGTGTTCCGCCCTCGCGCTCGTTTGCCTATTTCGATGCAGGTGACGGATCGCAGACCCGATCGTTCCAGTACGTCGATGACCTCGTGCGGGGCCTGATCGCGCTCATGAACAGTAATTACTCCGGGCCGGTGAACATCGGGAACCCGGATGAATACACCGTCAAGGATTTCGCCGAGGTTGGAGTTGTCTGCTTTTGGATGGTGGCGGCAGTGTGTCTTGTGTTTTCGTTGTGCATTTTTTTTGCTGGACATTTCGTCTGACTATAAGCGGATTTTTCCGGGTCCCGCTCGCTTCCCTCCTCTGATCGCGATATCTCTACTGTCGTGGTGTCCACGGGTTTCTAGGTTGCGGGTTCGAATCTCTTGCGAGTGAAAAAAAAATCGCAATTCAGGCGTGGAGAGCGCATAGTCGCGAGTAAACTAACTGAGGGAAGGACAGTGCTGAACCTTGCGTTGAGGGTTTGAGGCAAGCACCGCAAGGGGGAAGGCAGACGACGGGAACAAAAAATTGTTCACCATTGTGATGTGTGACCTCGGCTGGTGCGTCGAACATCATATGACGAAAGGCGTAGACTGGCGCCCAGAGTAGACGGGATGAAAACAAATGTACGCTCACGAGCACAGCAATACTATCGTCGGCGTCACCCAAACAGAGCATGCAACATACTTGATTATTCGCCCCGTACAAGCGTCCATATCAGGTGGCCTGAAAACCACGTGCAGCTTTCCTAGAACTGGCCCGAGGCAACAAGCTTTGACGTCTTCGGTAGTGGCTTGCATCTGCATGGCCCGTTCACATAAATTTATTACCACCCACCCCTAATTCTGGACCCCGACAATAATCGGTTGAAACGCCCCCTCTCTCCGGGTTTCCTGCAGTTGATCAAGTCGTCGACGGAGAGCACGAGCAAGATCATCTTCATGGATGGGACCAAGGATGACCCCAACAAGAGAAAGCCCGACATAACTCTTGCCAAGAAGGAGCTGAGATGGGAGCCTACCGTGGCCGTGAAGGACGTAAGTCCGTTTTTGAAACTGTCGGCGTGTCGGCCCTGATTTTGTATTCACCGACAGGCCACTGCATCACCAAAAGTTACGTGCCTTCTTGTGTCTTGAGTGTGCTTCTGTCGGGGTCGGTACCCGCCGGCTCATGACAACCTCGAAACCGTGTTGGGGGTACCCGCCATCACGCGTGGCCTCAGCGTGTGGCGGGGGTGTGAGGCGGGGGCAACCTCGTGACGAGACATTGACGCCCAACTACGTGTACGCTTGTGTACTTAACCAGGTATGACAAGCAGGATTGTACACACAGACAACTTGTCTAAATATCTGGCGTTTTTTCCCCACACAGACCAGACTACAAAAGGGGGCACTTCTCGCTTTTGCCCCGGCTACCTCCCCTCCTTTCCATGGTTGGCCATCTCAATTCACCTACCCGGTTGGTACCCACCGTCGGCAGGGTCTGGTCGAGACAATAAAATACTTCCGCGGGGAACTGAAAAAGACGGGGGAGATCATTCCCACGGGTCCAGACGCCTCCAAACCGAGGAACTTCGCCGATCCCAACCGTCCGAGGCAACTCCGATCACCCTAGGGAGGAGTTGAGGGACGGGTCACGGTGAGGAGAAAGAAACGCAGGCGAGGTGGGCGTGTATACACGAGGTGCTTCGTACTTCTACACTTGTCGACGGCCGGTGGACCATTCGGGGTCAAAAGTGATAGCCGTGGTGCTTAGTGGTGACGTGCACAAAGACTGGAGCGCACGGAGTTTCAACATACTGGTAGATGCCGGGAAAAGGAGGTCATGATGATGAAGAGAAAGATTGCTCGGAACAGCAGTAGTTGGAGGTGTTCGTGAAATGGATGGATGGATTTTGAATGCCTTGCACCTCAATCACCTTGATCGCTGTTTCGAGATACGAAAGTACCCTGGGCCAAACCGAGGCACAGCAAGTGCAAGTCTCAAGAGAGGGTGGAGTTCATGTGACCGATGTGTGTCAGGATGGGACGACGGGGAGAACTTGGCTGCATAGCTCTGGCGAGAGCGCGAAGAGCCCATCCCAGCCTTGGCAAATTCCTCCCCTCTTGAATATCTGGTACACCTTTCATTCATGTCTTGCGGGGAAGGGGTTATGGGGCAGGCATAAACCCCGGATACGAGGTACTTTACGGCATGGCGGAGCGCACCTTGGACTAGATACGAAGGGTGGACGGCAACGACAACGTGATGGAGCTTTATCCTTCAGCCTGTTGCGTTCTATCGTGATGGAACCTGTAGCTATTGTGGTGTTTTTCCCCCCAGCACTGACCTGTGTGGCCTTTGCCAATTCGTGGCTCAAAGATTTTTGCTCTTTCGCGGTATTATTTGCATATGCTGTACTTGTTTTGTAGATGTCAAATAGCGCAGGGCAAGTCGTTCTGTATGCTGAACTCGGGGGGGGACGGGGTCACTCGGTGTTGCTGCATCTCTCTGTCCGTCCGAGTTGGTTCCCTTTTGCTCATGTATTTTCCCTTCGCCCTTGCAGGTTGGGGGTGCAGGGTAGGGTGTGACACAAGACGCTCTCCGAGCATCACCGCCTCGACACTAGCAAGCTCGTGGTATTATGGAAGGATTTGCGATATGGTATGTATTTCAATATGTGTAGGACTGTGCGCCTTTGTGCAGTCTATATCTGCCTGGGGTCAGCCCCGGCCTCGTCTGTTCGCCCACTGCAAGTTATGGTACCAATATAAACGTTGTCCCAAAGAACTTCTTCAAAATATTTTGTAGCCACTTGTTTTTTCACAACAGAAACTGAAACCCGAAAGGCTAAATATCGATTCTGCCGAGTTTTTTCACGTGCAGCGACAAAGCTGCAACATAAGAAGAGCAGATACGGTTGGAAGTCGTTGAGAATGGTGCAAATATCCAATTGGTCGATTGTAGGGATCGGATTTATGCCCGCGAAGTCGGCTCGCCGCAATGAAGTCGGCCCGTACGGAACAGATCGGTGCCCCCGTGGTGCACTTCAGTTTTTTTTTTTCCCACACGGCTTCAACTGTTCGCGGTGAGTGTACGTTTATCCATGACACCCAAACCAAGGTCTTTCGCCCGGAGCGAAAAGGCCGCGCTAACGCGAAAGCGCGGACTCTTCAGAGAGATCGATAGCAACCCGTGACACGACGCATAACCGAGAATTCCAAGCGAGCACCCACGTCTATCTCCCAAACGAAGAGTCATTTTTTTCCGATTCGATTTGCTCGCGAGGCTGGTGCTACTGCGTACTTGTCGAGAGCGTTCGTAGCATCTGGACTCGTGCAACGATACGCGTGATTCTTCACGAGACTCCAAAAGCCAGGAATCGGTATCTCAGCCTAATGGTGACTTCGACGAAAATCAACGCGCAACATGCTCGAGCAGTCCCATGGACTACAGGTAGGCGGATCAGCGGATCAACGATGGTGATTTTGGTGGGCCTCAATCAACATCGTTGTCAGTATCCTCGTGTTTAGTCCTCCCCGTCCTATGCCATCGTTGGTTCTATGACTGCTTTGTGCCTGTAGAAGGCATCGCCTGCGCTAGGGACTCGATCAGCAAATAATGTTGATATTCGCGGCACCAAGCCGCTGGAATGCGGTTTAGTCCATGGGTCCCCCACAAACGCAGCCTTGGGGGAGTGCTCGTATATCTCCTCCCTCGTCTATCCACGCCGGCATAGATTGTAGCAGTACCTCTGCGTACAGGCAGCCTTTCGTCCAACTGCCTAGGCGTCTTTCAATAAGTACATTAACTGCACCCGGCGGCGTAGCTTATTTCAACACACAGAAGTTGCATAGCCAACCACGGACTCCCTAGCGTTTCAATACCCAACGACGAACAGCTGCAGCATCTGTGCTCTTCTTCTCCTCTGAGCGACCGGTAGCGCTACCAAATCGCGTTGCTGGACGGTCCGATCCGTTGTGTTCGCCTCCACTCTACCAGATGTTGCATGTATTTTGGACGGAGCGTGACTCATACATGGGCAGCAGGACCTGCGTCATTTATGGTGTCCTCACGTCGAGCGAAGCGTGATTCCGATGGGGCAGTGGTCGCTCACGCCCACGGTCGCCTCGTCCAGCATGAAGCAGTCGTGCACCACCATCCCCTTCGCGCCCGTCGCCCCCTCCCCCTTGGGCGCGCTGCCTTTCGCCCGCCTTGCCGTCGCTTTCGCTTGCCCCCCCTCGGCCGCCCCCTCCTCGAAAACGGCATTAGAGCACACGAAGTAGTCCAGTCGTAGCCCCCTATTGACGGGTCGCTGAAAGAAAGAGGAGACGAGAACGAAAAGAGCCATTAGTGTGCAAAGCAATCAAGGCACGGACGGTGGGTAGGTACGGACCGTTTCGCGGGGTATACAAGAGAGTCGTACCGGATAGACCAAACCAAGACGGGTGGACGAGACTGCGATTTGTGACTTGTTCGTGTCGGGGGCGTTGAAAGGCACATCCCTCGCAACAAACAAAACGCGCCCGTCGCCATCAAGGTACGCACCATGTGTGCACAGCAGTAATGTGAGATATTCTCGAAGCACCATCAACAAGCTGGCGTAGTTGTGCGTGTTATCGCACCCCCGTGCTAGCGTTTTTCTATAGCGTATTTCTCCACAACTAGGAGGGTGCTTACACCAACTGATACCTCTCCGGAAAGCCCTCGACATGTTTCCAAAGCCACCCTTTTCGGAGGTGATATCTCCCTGGTTGTGGAGAAATACGACGCTATAGAAAAACGGCAAATAACACGGGGGTGCGATAACACGCACAATTTTGGTACTCTTGAAACGAACTTTACAAAGAACCACGAAGTGGCCCATCAGAGGGCAACAACAAAATTGAACAACATGCACACGAACCACCATCACCAGCAACGGCACCCGCGGCCGCAAAGTAGTGGGCGCGCGACTCACCGCGCCGGTTCGAACGCTCCAGTAGGTGTACGCCCCTTCGGCGTCCGGGTGTAACCGTCGGAACGCGTCCGAAACCTTTCCCCCGTTAACCCACGAGTCGAACGAATCCCGCTCCTCCTTGGTCGTGGCGGCGTTTTTCGGCAAGTGCTTCGCGCCTCTGTTGTAGATGTCGAGGTCTCTGAGCGCCAGCGGCGGGGAGGGGGACGAGCATCGCTATGTTGAAGGAGATACTAAGGCACATTGTAGAAATAGCCGACCGAGAGGATACTTCGCAAAACAGTAGAGGGGTCATTGATCCGTGCGCTTTGTTGTGCGGGTGGAAGCACCCGCTCGCTGAACAAGTTTTACTCCCGCACGTGGTTGTTTGTCGCCAATTCCATCAACAGCCGCCTAAATGACAGTAGACGAGGAACCTATGTCAACATAGGAGCATACTCACAAATGGGCGACGTTGAGGTCACCAGTGAGCACTACCGGCTTCCCTCGCGCCTCCAGAGATTCCACGTAGGCCTTCAGAGCCACGTCCCACTCCTTGGTGCGGTAATCAAGGCGCACCAGCTTTTCTCCAGAGTTGGGCACGTACACAGTCACCACGAACAACTGTTCATGCGCGCCGCGTGTGGCGTTGCATGTCGTTCAATCGGCATACAAGGAACGAACGGGAGGTGGGGGATAAGGAAGAGTGCAGATGATGGCCGTGGTTGGAGTCAGGCCGTACGGGGGTGCCACACACAGGTTGCGTTATGTGATCGGTAACAAGTTATTCTCAGCTCAAAAAACACCCGTGCCGTAACCGATCGCCGTCCTCAGCAACTCAACGGAATTACTGGCGTTAAAACCAACGGTGCACCGTTCCCACCCGGCCTCCCACAAACCGCACATTCTTCGTCATTACACACCAACGCAGCAGCCGACTCATCCAAGTAAAGACACACAAGCCCTTCAGGCCTGCCGGTCCACTCTTTGGCAAGAATCTACCGCTGCGCTGAAGCCGACGGTACAAGGGGTGCTCCAAAGCCTTCCGCCCCTTACTACTTCCTTCACCGCCAAACTCTCTTCTCGTTTCCTCTCTCTTGCACCTTCTCGTACTCGACGGTGATCGACCGGCCCTCGTTGTTGTGCTTCGAGTCACCCCCAATGCCGAACCGAACCGACAGCACCTTGAATCCGCTGCGGCCCCCGGGCAAAGAATCCGCCGAATTCGTCGATGCCGCCGCGGACGTTGCCGGTTCTGCCGCAGGGGCGCGTGTCGGTGTCTCACTTTCCGGCGCTGACCCCTTCACCGACTTCTTGCTAGGCTTCGGGGAGAAAAACGTGGAAATTTTTCCCTGCTTGAGCTTCTTCCTCGCCTGCGCCGAGGTGAACAACAAAATAAGCGAATCCATTCAATGCACGGCACAGCAAGACCTGCAGCAGGCCGACCACTAGAGCGAAGGTCAGCGGCAACGATTATCAGATATCGTTGGCTATTGACCCACACCAAAGCCACAACAGAGGATCAAAGAGGGTTAACGGACACGCGCAGGAAGAGCAACGCAGCGTACCGCTCCCGAGGGCTCGAGTGCGGTTGTGAAAGTGAAATGGACAGGTATTGGCAGGAACGGAAGCGCGCCACCCCGACAAGGAACGCTTGAGGCAGTTTGTGACGAGAGGTTGGGCAGAGGATTAAGATTCACCGGCTCATCGGATGGAAACCCGTTGCCCGTTGCGTCTATTCCACCCCCGTCCCCCTTCCATGGGTCGGACTGCTTGGTGAAGAAAACCGCCGTGCCCGAGTAACCCAACTTCGTCCGGGAGCAGCTCCACTCCGAAGCGTAGCCGGGGAGAATATCTTGTGCCCTCAATGCTTCGACGTCCTTCTCCTGGATCTTGGTCTCCTGATTGATGTTGTTCGAGATCGTGTGGGGCATATTCGGCCAGCAGGCATTCGGTCAGCAGGCAAGGTGTGCGCTTCATGACACTCGAAAAGTCGCCGAATCCCTTCAGTAGGGATGCCTTGGGATTCTACTGTAGTCCGGCCCCCGCACGTATGTGTTGCGCACTCTGCCCTAGGTACGGTGGGTTTGGGGCCCTCCAAAATGTGTGAACTGCGTATAGAAATGCATATGATGGATAGCATCACCCCCCCCCCACACTGCTGCTGCGACGACTTTCGACGCCCATTTTTTCCACGACGGGAATCGTATTGGCGCCAAGCGATGGATTGCTGGAAAGCACCTTCTGGAATGGGTTCCCATCACCTTTTCCCACAGAGAGAGAGGCAGCCACCTAAATTATACATCAAATTGAAAGTGGAGGAATCCCGAGAGAGCTAGGCATTTCCCCCGTAGGCGACCGCCGAAAACGCCGAATTCCGAAATATGTCGCCGAAAAAAAAAACTGTCACCAAAAACCAAAAAGTAGCGCCGTTTTTGGAGAGGCTCCGCCGAATCATGGGTTGAGGTCGCCGATTCTCGCCGATTACTTTCACGGTGCCCCTGCTTGCGACCCCCGGGAGGAGACAGCTTGACACTCACACACAGTAGGCATGCATGCCATGCGTAACGTCGAAGTATCGAAGCATCATAGACTAGTATTCCATTTCGTTGGTTTGTTTGATAATTGAGGGCTCGGAATATTGCATCAACACACCAGCGTGCAGATGTAGTCTGTAGAAAAATAAGAAGGACGAAGGACACATCATTTCGCTTTTCGCGGACAGGTGACAGGTGACCTCCGCAGCAGTCCAAACGCGTCGCGACCCGCTCGTTTGTGTTACTGGAAGTACATGCTATGTACGTCGCGGAAAATCGCCAACACAACAACAATCGCCGAAACTGAACTATGACTCACCGAAAAACATGTGGAAGTCGCCGAAAGTCACCGAAAAAGATGTTTTTGGCACTAAAAAAAATCGCCGAAAAATTCCGTGAAACGCCGCAAAAAAAAACATCGCCAACGAGGGAAAAGCCTAATGGAGAGCGCGTGCGAAAAACATGTCATGCGCGGCCGATCGTGCCGCATTCTCACAGAAAATCGCCTGAACGAATTATACTCTCCAAACCTGCAAACAGATGATATCGGGCATCTCTTTCTTCACCATACGCCTCAGCGGCTCCAGGCCTTTCTTGGCGGTCGCTCGGATGCCGTTCACGTTCCACGACAGCACGGTGAAGGTCGTCCCGGTGGATGGGAGGGGGACACGATCGATGGGATCCCTCTTGGTGAAGATCGGCAACTCCGCCTTCTTCTTCTTGCCTTTCTTCTTGCCGCCGCCGCCCTCCTCCTCCTCCTCCTCCTCCTTCGACTCTTGCGTGTCATCCAAGGAGTCCCCAGGGGTGTCTTGGCTCTCCTCCGCAGCGGTGGTCATCCCCTGTGACTCTTCCTGAGACGCGCTCATCACGTGTGTGTCCTGCCCCCTCTCTCTTGTGTGTTGAGATTACGTGCCCTCCTCGGGTGTTGGTGGTGGTCCCCGGATTTGACACGCCACCGACCCGCGTCCACCTGAAACCGCTGCAACAGCAGGTGTTTATACTGAATGCTTGCGACGTGCTTTCACTAGGTTTCGCTCGATCCCTTCTTTCCCTCTGTTCGCTTCCCGCACCAGAACACGCACAAACCCTGCTCTTTCTGCACTCAACACCAACACTGCCACAATATTTACGCCTCTCAGCGCTCAGCGCTCAGGCTTGTGTTCTGCCAAATTTCAAAAACTCTGATGAGGGGGAGGGCTCGTCGTCCAAGATATTCCGCGGAGCCTCCAGATCACACGGTGTGCTATCGCAAGCCGCGCTCCACCTCTCTCTGCTCTTGCTCTGTTCTTGTTGTGTTCTTCTTCCTTTCCCACCACGCGCTGCAGCTGGGAGAAGATCAAGCTGTGGAGACACGGCCTTGTTTGCACTTGACGTAGATATATTTTGAACGGAAAGATGACGCGGTTGATGCTGGCGTCCCTGCTGCTACTGCTGCATCATTTCACGCCCGCGACCGGCTTTACGACGACCGGCTCGTGTAGATGCAATCTCCGAATGAGCTCTGGGTCGCCACGAACGTGAGTCATGAATATCAACCTTGTCCTATGCATAGGTTGCAAGTATATAACCCTCTCTAACGTAAATGGGCTATGTGTATTACTGCTGCTGGAACCTGAAACGTAAATCATGCGCAATACTCTGCTCTTTTGTAAGATATCACCTCCCATGATACTGCTGTCTTCGCTCACTTGCTTCACAGCGACTCCTGTAGCCTACTGGTGTATGCTAAGTTTTTCTCGTGGTGGTACTCTGTATCATAACTACACAAACGATAGCGGGCTCTCAAGAAATCATCAGGCGTACACATGTTTTCCCGTCCCGACAGACATTCAAGTTCGAGACCGGGGTGATATTAGGTGTCACACACGATCTCGTTACCGTAGGATCGTGAGATTTTGCGTCGCTTTGTTCGCACATGTCAATACAAGGGTGCTGTCAGTTCGTGTGTGTTTCTATTATTAGCATCGACCGCGCTAATCGGCTGACCAACGAAACGACGTCAGTGCCAGCGGGTAAACTCAAGGTCCCTGGAAGGGGGCCAAAATTCGAAAAATGCGCAATGCGCTAAATGCGAATGCCGATACGACTCTACATCTACATTTTCTTTCCCGTAGACACACATCTCAGCTACACACAAGCCCTCGCCCGGACCTCGGAAGCCACTGATGCAAAGAGCGGAGGACAGCAAAAGGGTTGATTCAAGCCCAGTCGAAGCCAGGATATGTTCGTGTGTGTGCATATGTAAGAAGGATCTGAGGACGGTTCTGTGTTCCGTAGATGAAGAGAGAACTACGGTGGTACCTGTTGTGGTAGACTTGGATGAGTCCGCGGTGCCCCATGCTGTGTCAGCCTGTGCGGGGCACTCTCTTTCTCCTCTGTCTGTCGTGCGTTTGTTCTGCTGGATCTAATACAAGCTATCAACGAGACTTTCTAGTCACTGGACACAAATACGTGCATACCCGGCAAACACTCTGGCTCTAGGAGTGATCAACACCCTGGAGTTATCTTGCTCCATCGTCCTTGCGAGGAAACGAAAGAGCCCGTGCCAGCAACATGTCGGGAGGAGTCTCGCAGCAGGAGCTCGCCGCTAAACTCGGAGATGATAAGCGGGCGTTGACAGAACGCTTCGAGGAGAAGCAGACCAAGGCCGAGGCGAGAATGGAGCAGCCACTCGGTAGCTTAGGGGGACTTTTGCTCCAGCAGCCCATGCGAGACGGAGGAGGAGGAGGGTCACACGGCGCCGTGGTGGACAGGCGCGCCGTGGGGGGTGCGGTTGGAATCCCAGGGGGAACCCGGAGGGGTTCCGCCGCAGGGAAGCTACCCGAGACTGTGGGCCCTGGCGCTCGGGACAGCGGCGGCGTCAGCGGTGGAGTAGCGGGCGGCACAACACACAAGCCTGTTGATCGCGGGAAAAGTACTCGGTCCGAGAGAGCTGGATTATTGCATTCATGGCTATTCTGGTGAACGTCGACTTGTCGCAGAACAGCAAAACCGCGCAATACTGCTGTGTTTTTGAAAGAGGGCTAACAACAGCGCGGCGTTGCCGCGGACACCTCATTTCCGGCTGATAGGTGGGTGATTTCTTGAGTGACCTTGCCTGTGACGAATGATGCCGAAAGTTTATGAAGGGGATTCGCAGTTCAGGCGTTTCTATTTGTGATTTTCTTAATGTTCGTAGAGCGTCTGTAGTTTCGCTTACGATGATACAGCCAATGATGANCTCATTTCCGGCTGATAGGTGGGTGATTTCTTGAGTGACCTTGCCTGTGACGAATGATGCCGAAAGTTTATGAAGGGGATTCGCAGTTCAGGCGTTTCTATTTGTGATTTTCTTAATGTTCGTAGAGCGTCTGTAGTTTCGCTTACGATGATACAGCCAATGATGATGTTTTCGAAAGGGGATTCGCGGTTCGGGCTTTCCATTCTTGAGTGTGAGTGTTTTGTTGAGCAACAACTGTAGTTCGTCTTCATTCGATGATATACCCGAGCGTTTATGGCGGCCTTATTCTCGGAGGATAAGCTAGATGAGCGTGAGGCCTTGTAAGGAAGGGAACCCACCATACCCAACCTCAACAATCCACGCTCCCAGATGTAGGGGGGGCGACGTGAGTTCTTAAAATTTGTGCTTTCCAGATGTAGGGGAAGGGACTGACACTGACACGCACCCCCAGTCGAAGGGGGAGGG